CTCCCTGGTAAACTGAATGTCGGTGTTTTGTTCGTTAAGGTGATTCTGAAGATGACTTCCGCACAGATAGTCGAAACGTCAGTCACCAACAACAGTTCTTTTCAGAACTACACTCACTCGGACGATCACACTACACGAACTACTGATACTCCTGGGTTCAAACCATTTACTTTACTAGTGATAGTAGTAGCAGTAGTAGTTATAGTAGTAATAGTAGTAGTAGCAATAGTTGTAGTAGTAGTAGTAGTAGTAATAGTAGTAGCAGTAGTTATAGTAGTAATAGTAGCAGTAGTAATAGTAGTAGCAATATTAGTACTAGCAATAGTAGTAGTAGTAGTAGTAGTAGAAGTGGTAGTAATAGTAATAGCAGTAGTAGTAATAGTAGTAGTAATAGCAATAGTAGTTGCAATAATAGTTGTAGTTGTAGAAGTAGTAATAGTAATAGTAGTAGTAGCAATAATAGTTGTAGTTGTAGAAGTAGTTGTAGTAATAGTAGTAGTTGTAGTAGTAGTAATAGTAGTAGTAGTAATAGTAGTAGTAGTAGTAGTAGTAGTTGTAGTAGTAGTAATAGTAGTAGTAGTAGTAGTAATAGTAGTAGTAGTAGTAGTAGTAGTAGTAGTTGTAGTAGTAGTAATAGTAGTAGTAGTAGTAGTAGTAGTAGTAGTAGTAATAGTAGTAGTAGTAGTAGTAGTAGTGGTAGTAGTAGCAGCAGCAGCAGCAGTACTAGTAAGTGTACATCTTATACCTTTTTAAATTAGCCTTTAGTGGTTTCAGCTCTTCGGCTGTCTTTACCCAGGTAACCACTATGTCTCCAAGTTGTTTCTTCCAATAGGTAACAACAGCCGTTCCGTGTTTCTTGGCGTATCTTTCCTTGTAGTTTTTCTTAGCAAGTGTGCAGGGATCGCTGATACCGTAGTAAATTCCAACGCAGAAGTTCTTGATACTTTTTCCCAACTTTTTGATATCTGCGTCATTGAATTTGCTTGGTCCAAGGGCTATCGTGCAAGCACACATGGTTACACCCATGTTGGGAATCGGAGCACAGTTTCCATTATTCTCTGGCATGATGTGAGGCTCATAATGAAGACGAACGACTTTT